CGCTGAGAAGCCCTGGGCCAGCCCCGCTCAGGCAAAGCGGGCTTCAGGGGCTCACATGAGGACACCCAGTCTGGTTTCATCTCCGTCTCTCACAGCTGCCCTCCCTGGCTTCACTCCCCCGTTGCCCAGGATGCCCCCTGCAGGACCAGGAGAACATCGTCCTTGCTGCTGGCAGTCTGGGGTAGCAGGAGAGGATCCCTGCCTGTGTCCGTCAAGGTTCGGGCAGGAAACCAGAAGCCACTTTGTTAGGAAGGAGAGGACCCGGCTGGGTGTCACAGGCTGTCAGATGCAGTGAGACGAGGGACCAACGTCAAGAAAGCAAAGTAAGTTTTAATGCCTCTGCAGAGAGCAGCAGAGCGGGCCTGCCTAAGATAAGACTGGCCCAGATGCTCATTCTGAGGCTTCTTTTACGTGGTTTTGGCAGGGCAGAGAGGTCCTTGATTGACAGCTGTCAGCACTCTAGGCTGTTTCTGAGCGGTGGGATGAGGATGGGCTGTGCTGTGCCCGTGCCTCTGAAGCTTCTTATCTGGGGGGACCCTGGACATTTCCTGAGTCACTCTTAGACACTGTGGCTTCATTTGATAACTCTCTGAGTCATTTCTGGCTTTCTGGCTCTATTTGATCAACTCCCTGAGTCATCTTTGGGGGGCGCTTCCTCCTTTCCATCCCACTCATTTCTGTCTTTCTGCCTAACAACTTTAGGCACAGGGAGGAACGGCGAGTTTAACGCAGGAAGTAACACACACGCATCGGAAGGACAGGGGAGTGAGGACGAGGGGGCAGCTGTGAGCGTCCCAGAAACCTGCATGTAGGGATCTCAGAGAAGGTGCGCCTCCCCCGGTCTCAGGCGCCCTCAGCACCCGAGTAAGTGACTCGCAAGGGGATGCCTAGGAGCTTGCTGAACCCCAGGCAGCAGAGAAAAGGGGCTGCTGCTTCCCTCCCACCGTTCACACACTGTGCAGCTGCCTCCCAGTTGTGGGCTCTCGGAGACTGGGCTGGCAGGGCGTCTGGGAGGGGCAACATCCTGGCTCCAGTTCCATGTGCCAGGGAAGAGTGGGGTGGGGGGCAATACTGAGTATCAGCAATAGCCCTTCTCCTAGTAATTCTCTTGCAAAGGGTTGTTTTGCTGGCTTCAGCAGGATTCGGTTATACCCCAAACAAAGGGTGGGATCTGGATCTGCTGTGCCAAAGGACCACGTGAGTCCTTGGACCCTCTGAGGCTGGACGTTGGGTCAGTTCCTCCCTAAGCACGTGGACTGAGTGGGAAGGGGGTCTCTTGGAAGGTGGTTTGAGATATTGTTATTAAAAGAGGGATATTCAGGAGCCAGGAAAGCATTCCCAGTGATTGCTGTCTTGGACAGGTCAAAATGGGCTTTGGGGCCAAATGACCACTGGTTCAAATATTCATGTGATCTGGGCGAACGCCTTCAATGTCCTGGAGCTCCATTTCCCTCCCGAGAGCAACAAGACGCTGCTCTCTGGGTATAAGATTCACGGGTAATAAATGCCTGTGCTCTTACCTGGTACAGAATATATGCACAAAAATGTGACTGTTTTCCTCCTCCCTTTCCCTTCTGTTTACTGATTAATTCAATAAATATTAACTGGGAACCTACCATGTGTATCAGCACCATGCTAGTGGCTGAGACTCCAAGAGGCATATGGCAGTTTCTGGGCTCCGCTAGCTCAGCCTAGGGTGTGAGATGGTCTCAGCGCAGAAATCAGCGTGTTAAGTGCTATAATGCTATGATTTTCATCACGACACAAGGTCTCTCTTTTCTGCTGTAGAAATGCAATGTGATGCACACTGAATAGCATTTTACTATATACACTTAATACTATCACTGCATGCAATTAGGGCTGTGCTGGGGAACCCGAGGCTGTCAGCGGTCATCCCTCCCTCTCCACTGTCATTGCTGTAGCGCCTCCCTGGCCCTGCCAAGGACCAGAGCCGTCTCCAGGCCACCAGCCACATGGCTCAGTTCTCTGCTGACTCTTCCCCCTTCCTACCCCAAGCAGCTTGGTGCTCTGCCCACAGATAAGAAGGTCTGGGAGGTTCTTGCAATGCAGAAAGAACCCCAGAGTAAGTTTCTGTCCCCCTTCTCCACTTAGCAACCTCCACTTCGGGGTGGACTGGCCTGGCTCCCTGGGGGCTGGTGGGGTGTGAGGTCAGCAGGGCTGCTGGTCTTGGCCCCCCTCTGTAAGGCTGACCAGGCCTGTGAGGAGTGTATTTAGCCTTCTGTACAACTTGGGCCAGGAGGAGTTAAACTCCCAAAGAAAAGGTTACAGGAGGCCTGGCTGGCTTATGTCTTCATTTAACAATGGCAGAGGTTCTTCCGTGCAGGAACCTCTGGTCTGATTGCACCCTCCACGTCACCCAGCTGCATGCACCATTCTTTGCAGGGTGGGGGAGTGACAAGAGACTGAGGGGCTGTGAAAGTTCAGCCCTTGGCTTGTGGCTTTTGCTTCAAATGCCCCCTAGGCCCCTCCAACCAGGGCTCTGAAGTCTTGATGCCCCAGTAGTGGGAGTGCCAGGGGGTGGGAGCTGCAGCAAGGAGGGGAGAAGGATGGAAGAGAGCAGAAGGACCCTGCGGACGGGGCTCCAGTGCTGAGATGCCACAAAGGGGGGACTGAGAGGAGCTTTGGAACCCAAGCAGCGACCAGGCTGTGTCCTGGTGTTGGGGTGCCTTCCCCCGAGGGGGTGACTGAGCAGGGTCCTCATCAGAGGAAGCAAAGTGGAGAGCAGGATGGAAAGTGCCTGGCTGCCTCCTGAGCGTTCATCTGAAAATAGCAAGGCAGGCAGGTGCCAGGGTCCCAAGCACGCCACCCAGGGGCAGGGGCTGAGCTGAGGCACCCCGGAGGGAGCAGAGCCCATGCCGATCGACGTTCAGCTCCTGTCCCAGGCCGGCCTGGCCTGGCCTGACTCTGGCCCCAGAGCCACTTTGCTGAGATGACTGGGCTCTGCACAGCCTGGTCTACCTGCCTCCACCCTGGCTGTCCCTGCTTCATGGTGACCTTTGTCAAACATGCACAGCCATCACCTTCCTCCATCCTTCAGCAAGTCTCACAGGCCTACAGGATATGTCCAGACTTTGGTTTGGTTTTAAGCTCCACCCCCCTGCAAGCCCCCACGCCTGCACCATCCGCACACCTGGAGCTCCACCCGCCCCACTTCCTCCTATGAGGCTGGGTGTGCTGGGTGCTGCTGGGCCAAACCACTTGGCTTGGTCCAGGTGGTCTTCTCTGTGTCTCACTGTTTTTCCTTTCCATTGACATTGTACCTATGTTTCAAGCGCTGAGGGAAGCCATGCCTGATTCCAGGTGAGTATTTCTGGCTCCTTGCATCTGCTGACTTCTGCTCTAACTGGAGATGCTCCCACCCACAAGGCCATCAGCTTTTTAAGGTCAAGAACCATGTCAGTGTCCCCTGGTGCTGCCCACAGGGCCTCACTCAGTGCTAGGCTTCTAGCAAACGCCTAGCAGGTAGTGGCTAAGTGAACACTCATTCAGGGTGAGTGGTACCAAGCCACAAACGTTAACCCGGGGAGGGTGAGGTGGCACAGAGGTGACAAGGGCTCCTGTGTCTCTCTCCTTTACTATCATTATTCATTGGCCTGGCTGAGCTCAGCAGCCCTGCCACTGAGGGATATAGAGTTTGAGGCCTGGAGGCTTGTTCCAAGTGGGTGCAGCTCTTCTTGGGGGCTTTTTGTGTCATAAAGAGCATCCCCGACTGGCCCGCTGACCTTTCCCTGGGCCTACTGAAGGCGGTGTTAGCGCCTTGTACAAAGCATGAGAGATCCGTCCCTGGGGGCAGGGGATGAAGCAGGCAGAAGATGTGCTGATGACTTAGCTAGTTGAACATGCGCAGTGAGCCAGGAGCGCTGCTTAGCTTTAGACGGGCTCCCCATTTACTCCTGCGGCTCTGCGGTGACTTCCGAACGATAAGAATCTGAGGCCCAGAATGCTCAAGTCCCATGCCTAAGACCACGCAGCTAGTACCTGGAAGAGCTGGAGCGTGGACCCAGGTCTGACTCTGGAAGTCCATGTTCTCCTGGACTGCATTTTACAGTCTTGGGTGGGACAGGGCACCCGCAACTCTGCCTGCCCCAAGGAGGGCCTCTGTCACTCGGAGGCCCATCCCGGGGCTTTGGACGGGCGGTTGGTTTGTAAGGGTTGTTCTCAACCCTGGAGTATCTGGTGTGTGTGTGTGTGTGTGTGTGTGTGAGAGAGAGAGAGAGAGAGGGAGGATTTATTCTACTGATTATGCCCCTCATTCTGTTGGGGGCAGCCTGTGTGACAGAAACATGGCATGCCAATAAAGGGTGTCTGTATGGCATAGCTGACTGCAGGGACTAGAGTGTCTCTAGTTGGAGATAAAGTCAGGAGGGATGGATTAGACCCTGCCAGGATCTCAGGCAGCAGAGGAAGGAGGCGGGCAGCCAGGGCCCCGATCCATGGGAGGTGGGATGGGCAGGGCGGAGGCTCGGCCTGTCATGCTGGAGGTTCCTGTCCCCGTTAGAAGGGGCTCTCCTTCCTGTTATGTGAATGCCTGCATGTATGACCCTCTGTTTGTCTCTTTTTAAGCACATTCTAATCACCACATCTAATTACAGAAAAAAGAGTAAATCACCAAACAAAATTAGTTTTCAGAGTCTTAATTATCACCAGAAAGAGTAATTAATAAGCGAAACAGGAAATGACCCCGCGGAGTCCTGTAGCCCTCAAACATGTGCTTTGCCCCCCTGTACACACTCGTGTGGGGAGGGGGAGGCAGAGACAGAAGCGGCCTGGCATTCCCGAAGCTCTCACAGTCCCAATGGGCATGACAAATTTCCTAAGGCTTCCACACATTCTCGGAAGTTTGCATGTCTTTCAAACTTGGTTTGCAAAGTTTCTAGGTCATTCCTTCCCGGCCCTGTTCTCTCCCAAGCCTTGAGGCCAGAGTAAGGCAGCAAAATTAGAATAAATAGCCAGATCCTCCTCTCTTTTCTTTCCTCCAGTGTACCGAGCTCTGGGCCAGGAACTCTCAGACCTATTGATGATAACAAGATCAAGTTCAGTGCCATTGGCTGTCTGGTGAGACCTTCTTGGCTTTCCTTGTCTGTCCTCCTGGGATTATATTTCTTTATTTATTCATTTTGATAGTAGCATCATATAAATAAAACACCATTACAAAAATGTCGTGGAAAGTTCAGAACTATTCATTATCCATTTCATACAGGTTAAAATTGCCATCAAGGCTGTTTGGATATGACTTGTGTTCCTTTCCACCTAATGAGCCGGATAGAGAAGGCAAAAGATGCTAATTCATCCTTACATCTCTATCATATCTCAGCTTTTACTATATAAAGCATCAAGGTCGCATTCTGGGGAAATGTCTTTTTACCAAAGGTGCTATAATAATAATGAAGAAGCAATTTGTTTCAGCAAACTGCCTGCAGTAATGAGGCTTAATTATAACCATGTTATTAATACCGCTGCTTAAGGTAATTCACTTCTGAGCGGGGTGCAGAACAGTAAACTATAATTTAAACAAGAATTGAGACCTAATTTAAATCATCGGATCTACTGCGGAAAAAGGCAAACAGAACGTCTGTAATCCACACGTGATTTAGAGCTTCCCCTCCGTGCCATTTCCGGGGGACCTAGGTGGCTGCCTGAGGGGCAGGGAGCCTGGGGTCTGGGTCTTGAGCACCCTGCCTTTTTCCAGGAGGCTCTGTAAGTGACACAGCTGCCAGGATCTGCATCCAGGCACCTGCTGCCTCTAGACCCCTTCCCCAGGTGGACTGGGGAGGCTGAGAGGCCAGGAGGAAGGTCCTCGGCACATGAAGGACATCTCCCATGGGCCCTGGAACCCGTCGTAGGTCTGTTCCTGCTAATCTGTTAGGAAAATGAGGAGCTTTGTGCTGGAAGGGGCCTTGTCAACCTGCTCTCAACCACTATGGCAGACCGTCTGCAGGTGCAGAAAGGGGAAGAGCAGTGTCTGCCGGTTCTTGCTCAAGAACACGCACGGGTCTCCATCTGTGAGCTGAGATCTCCTGCCTCCTGGTGCAGATGTCCTGCAGCACCGCCAGTGCCCCTGGGCTGGTCTCCCACGGTGCCTATGCCATCTAAGGCAGTGATCCCCACACCTGGCTGTTCCTCAGAACCTCCTGAAATGCTTGTTAGAATATACAAGATCATGAGCCCTGCCCCCCCACGCAGACTCGGATTGTGTCAGTCTGGACTGGGGCTGGGGATCCACATATTTGTCAGGAACTGTGCTTATTCTGATGCAAGTGGTCTGAGCGTGCAGTTCACTCATCTGTTCCACAGGACCAGTACACTTAAAATACACAAGCAATGTGTGTGTGTGTTTGATTACCTCTTCTGTATCACAGTTATTCATTTGTCTTCTCAACATTTATAGGGCACCAATTATGTGCAAGCCACAGCTCTTCCTAGTCAACTACGCTTTCATCCCCGTGGCTGAATTTGCAATGGATTTTCCTGCTCCTTTTAATGAGGGACAGTATTCCATGCTACTTTAAGTGAAAATGAAGAAGAAATTGAGAACAGACTTAAGTGTGTGGTAAACATTATGAAAGACCATGTCTAATCCCATGTTTGATACAGGAGCTCTGCGCATGTGTGATATTACCAAAGTAAAAAGCTGTCCTTTCTACGAGTCTTCACCAGTGCTAACCGAGTCAGACTTAAGAATTCCTGGCAGTTGAGGCTTAGTTAACGAGGCAGTTTTGAATGCTCCATTGCTGGGAATTTACAAAAGCAGGAGAGATTTGTGGAGTCAAGCAATGAAGATACCGTTTCCAGGTCTGACTCCGTGACAAGCCACAGGGGCCTCTGCCCCCAGTGTGTGGTCTTTGGCTGACACCCAATTCCTGTCTGTCCATCCTCCATCCAGCCACCCGATCACCCGGCCTCTTCCATTGTCCTGACTGGATGCAGGAGGTGGGGGAGGGAGGGAATCTGTGGCCTGAGACGCAGAGCTCACCGAGGGAGAGTCACACACCTGCTCACACTGCGCCCTGCCTGCGGACATGGGGTCCCTCCAATTCCTCACCCTCCTTTCCTCCAAGCCCCACGCACAGAGGCGGCTCCAAAGCAGAGCCGAATGGAGAACCGATTGGATTAAACCTGGAAATCTTTTTGGGGGTTTGGGGGGAATATCCCCTCGCAAACTTTTCCCAGTGTTCTGGACTTTTCCAAAAGCTTTGCTGTTTTGTGAGATGTAAAGTGGGAAGGTGGGATTTCAAATGACTCAAAAGACAATAGAAATTCTCCTTTATGGAAGAGAGATGCAGGCTGTACATTGCCCAGAGGTCGGCTAACCCGCCCAGGCTTGCCTCGGTTTACTGGCACTGTCACCCCCACACATTCCCTGTCTCTGCCTCCGTAAGAAGCATGTCATGCCTTCCTCTGCCTCCTCTGTTTCCTGCTTCTCTCTCACTTTTGTTCTTCTCCACAAGAACTTTCCCTCCTGGGCCTTCTCACTGGTACAGGAGACCTACAAGCCAAATGACACAAATGACATCTCCAGCTGGTGGTAATGACTGGGCTCTGGCTGGAGCGCAATAACCAGGCTCAGATCTGTAGCCAGAACCAGACGAGGCTGGGACAGATGCTCCCTCCTTCTACCTCTTTATCTCTGTCTCTCTCTCTAACACACACACACACACACACACACACTCTGCATCCCACACATTTATATGCACACACATATGCACACACGCAGATTCACATACACAGTATAAACACGCAGATATCAATGCTGGTTTGCACATGCAAAGACACACACTCATGTAGACACAGGCGCACGCTCGGCTCCCTGCGGCAGCAACTCTCCCTTTCTCCCTAATTAACCCCTCCTTCCCTCCTGAAGTGTTGGATTCACCCCACCAGTTATGGGGGCAGGAGTCCGGGGAAGTGGTCCATTTCAGTCTTGCAGACACAGGGAACCCATCCAGATAAAAATGTCTAGGGACGGGCTGGCAGTAACGGAGGTGGGGCGGGGAAGGGAGTGGCGGTGCTGGGAGCATTTCCCTTGGGTGGGGAATAAAGCCCAGCTGTGTCCCATTTCTCTGCAACCTCCCACAGGCTGTTTCATCTCACTTTGTGTGAGCTCCAAGGGGGTGTCCACTTTGAGGAACAATAACTATAAAGTCATTTGGAGTGCCCTGCTGTGGTACAGCTTCTGACTGACCTGGCCACCTACTGCACTCGCTCCAAGGAGCTGACCCTCACTGGGGGCCTTGCATACAGCATCCCCTCTCTGTCCCAGCTGTCCCCAGCCCCCAGCCCCATGTCCCTGGAGTCCAGGCTGAAGTCCCTCAGAATGGACATTCCAGTCATGGCTTTGGGGTTTCAGAGAGAGACCAGGGTGGACTCATCCTCAGGAATTGAGAGGGTCTAGGTGGCAGGAAGTGAGACCAGAGAATGGTCGGGAGTGGCAGGTACCTCCCTACCCCCTTAAGGTGGATGTGGGAAGGTATCTGGAGAAAATCCTTCACTTCTCTTAGTGTGGCCTACAGCTTGAGTCTGGAAACTGGACGTCCTACAGGAACTCGTGACTTACTGTCAATAGCCTCAGAGCTGCATCTTAAGAACAGGGGTGTTGGAACCCCTTTCAAAAAGGAATGCTGAAAAGGTGTCACCTTCAGCGTTAACTGGCCCATCCCCCTGTCGTTAAGGAGAATTTGCCCCTTCTCAGGCCAAAGGTCCTAGGAGGGCTTCTGCTTTTTGAAAGTACCACTCAGCCTTCCTCTGTCACTGTTCTGATAATAAAAATCTCCTTCATCTTATATTTTTCAAAGCATTTTCACATCCATTAGCTTGTTAATTGATTCATTCATTGTGCACATTTATTGAACACAGGAGGCACTTCAAGTCTTTTTAAAGCAAGGCAGGATCTAGATAAATATATGCATACATACCGAGTACCCGCAAAGTGCAGATTTTTCTGATGGGTATGGTGGGGGGTGAGGAGGGTTTTAAAGAAACCAAGAAATCCCCTCCTGCCACTCTAAGTCAGATGGTAAATCTATGATGCCAATTTCACAGATGGGCATACTGAGTGCGAGTGAGGTTGAATGGCTTGCTTACGGTCATGAGATCAGAGGCAGATGCAGCACACACCACCTCATTCCAATCGGTTGCAGCCTCCCTGTGTTCTGAAATGTTGCTTTCTAGAAATTTCTTCCTGTGGTCACATCTCCCCTTTCCTTCTTGGCCTCTCTGGAATGAGCTGTCTCAAAGGAGAAATAGTTACATTGTAATTCTTTCTGAGCCCACGTATATAGTGCTTCAGGGACAAGAAGAAAAAAATTGTCTTCTCTATTTCCATAAGAAGGTCAGCAAGACCGAGCATGTAATTCTTTCTGAGCCCACGTATATAGTGCTTCAGGGACAAGAAGAAAAAAATTGTCTTCTCTATTTCCATAAGAAGGTCAGCAAGACCGAGCAGCTGTTTGCATTTCCCATGCAGCCTCTCCGAGGACTTTAATTTTCGCCAGCCGGGCCCTGGGGTGGGCGAGGCTGCTGGAGGCACTCAGTACACAACACTGAGGACCCCTCCCTCCATCCCAGCTTTTCCTCACAGCCAAGGGAGAGTAAGCCAGGAAGGATTCCTTCCAGCCAGGAAGCCTGAGGCGGGGAGAGGGTGAAGCCCTCCCGGAGCTCACGGCCGACGGCAGAGAAGGCCCGCACCGATGCCCTCCGCGGGCTTTTACTGGAGCCCGGGCTATTGCCTGTCTGTTCTGAAGACATATGTGTGTGTGTGTGTGTGTGTGTGTGTGTGTGTGTGTGTGTGTGTTTGGGGTATGTGCGAGGCAGATTCAAGGTTGAAGGGGGAAGCAATGTAGCTGTTTTCTCTCTGTGCGTGTCATCTTGTTAAAAATTCTGAGACTCTTCACGTCCCAGGCCCTCCCAAGTAAGGTCACAGTGTCAACCCACAAGCAGCTGGACCAGCTAGAGGCACGATGACGGAGCTACCCAGGCAGCTTAGAGGCATGCTGACCCCTGGTGCCCAGGTCTACTCGTCTGTGCCCAGGGCAGAGCCTGGCCCTCAGGAGAGCTGCTCTGGGGCAGGCAGGGTGCCGCTAGGGCAGCACCTGTCCCCTGCCTGCTCAGGCCCCAGAGACAGAGTGGCCAGGCCTCCTGT